CCCTAACTGCAACTCAGTTTTTGCTCCACCTACCAATTTAAACTTTGCTCCCTCTCTCTCTGCTGGCTTCCCAACTTGACATACCGGTGAAAACATTGGTTAAGTGTTACACTTTATACTGCAGATAGATAAAGGGGAAAGAGAGAGAAAAGAGAGATTGATAGAAAAAAACAGGAAACATCCCAGAGACCCATGGAGTCCATTGCTGGCATGGCTCCTCCATTCCAACCATCTACTTTCAACAGAATATTTTCAGAAGTGCATTCCATTTTATTTTCAAGAATTACATTTTCTTTAAAAAATGTGAAATGAAACCCCCTAACCAAGGACAGAAATTAAAAGAGCAAAGTGTTTATCTTAACATAATGCAAGCCTCATCAAGCATTCGTTAAATACAGGTAACAAATTCATATTACATGTTCATATACCATTAATGTCACACTTTTGCATTGGGAACAAAATGTCTACTTTATAAGCCTTTGTGTTATGTTGGTTGGCCTCACCAATAATTCAATAATTCAATTGAATAACACTGTTTCCAGCACATTTCTGTTCCAGATTGTAATGTGAATCTGGTATGTGAAACTCCAGTTCTATAACTCAGCAAGTGGCAATCCGAAACCTCCCCTGGCTCTATCCTTCTGCAATGTAAACAGATTAACCCTCAGAAAGTTAGCGTCCCATACCAATTTTTTTCCATTTTAATGTGGAATCAAGGAAAATATATAATTTAGTAGGTATCGTACAGGAAGAGCCAGTTCTAATGCTGGGGTTGGGGAGGGGGGGCAATAACATCAGCTGTATATTGGGCGCAACCAACATGTCTGGCTTCCAAGACATAAGGTCGTCATAGACATCACTTTATGTGCAAGTGATGTTGTCGACGACTGGATGACCCAAAGGTAGGCCATTTTTTTGTAGCACACAAGTACTGCCTGCTTTTTAATGTGAGCTGGCCAGCCTTCTGCCCACATTTTTGATTTTTTCCACAATTTAATGTTGGCGCTCACAGCCCAATCACACTATAAGCAAATCAACATTCTAATGGATTACATTATAATGGGGGCGTTTACTGTATTCATTTTAACAGCACTGACCTTCTTCAGCAAAGAAATGTATAACATTAGGTCCCGACAAATATCAATCAATAGGATACTTAGATTCATATCCATAAATTGGTGACCAACAGAATACCGAAGCACATCATTCCCTTAAGAGTCCCTAATGTATTTTATCTCTCGATGCCCTCCTGGTGATTGCTCGTGTTCAGAGAGAGGGCTTCAGATTTTGCACAGTTTCTATTTAGATATCAGTCCAAATCTTCCACTAATAGCAAAGCTGTGAGCAATGTTTTCAGGTTTTGGAACATGAAAAAATGTCATTAGCATTTCGGGTTCCATAGTGATACAGGAAAAAAGCCATTCGGCCCAACTCGTCTGTGCCAGTGTTTGTACTGCACACAAGCCCTCGCCACACTTGTTGCCCTCACTTATTCACTTCTCCCTTGTGTTTGTATCAAGACTTCTCTTAATTACACTGATACTACTTTTTCCAATCACGATTTCTGTCAGTGAATTCTACATTCTTACTACGTTCTGCTGTAGAATGTATACAGTCCTAAACTCTGGATGCCTAATAACAATAGTTAAAAGTTTGAGTGCCATTCCAAACCATAATGGAAACAATGGATAGCCTTGTTTCCTGCCTCTATACAGCTTCCCCAGAGATGAGATGTTGCTTTTTGGCAAAACCCATGCAAGGGAAGATGCATATATTGTTCTGACCCACTGGAGATAGCAAAATCTTTCCAAAACATGAGCCGGGTGCCATCACTCAATTTGTCAAAGGCCTTCTCATTATCCAACCAAACAGCAAAATTGATATGTTGATTGTTAATAGCATTTGTCAAAAATGTCGATAGGTAACGTAAGAGTACCTGCTGAATATATGCTTTTCAAAACATTCTTGGTTATTGTATTGTTTGTGTGACACCATTCCATCTGAAAGGTAGTCACTTTTAGCGCAAATTTTACAATTTTCATTCAGAAATGAAATGGCCTCTGGATACAGCGTGATTAACCTAATTTCTCTTCTTGGGTCTTATCAATACATTGGCGGAGTAGAATTAATCAGATATTTTATTATTTTTGAGTATTTGTTGAAATGCTCATAGTAAGGACAATTGTTATCTTATGTAAAAATGTTTTGTTAAACTTTACCTGTATAGTTATTGCTCCTGCTAAACTGGAACTGTCCAACCATGTTCCTTTTACAGTACTGTGAAATTTTTGCCTACTCCTAAGCATCTTGACCTTTGTCTGCCCTAACAATAAAGAATTGAGAGCATATTTTGTCCCTATTAGTTCTCTCAGCACCTCCTTTGAATGAAAGGATTTATGTTGAGATTCAAGCAGTTGGCTCCACTGATCACGTACCCGTGTCCCTTCCCCCTTTGTTATCTGAACTAAAACATGATACTGTACATCCTCCTAAAATCACTCTCATGCCAGTGCATCAGATTCTACAGGGCCCAATTTTCACTTGCATGCAACTTATGTGTTTCCAATTTAGTTGTTTCTCTTAAAGTTTGTCTGTTAGCAAATTATTTTCATACAGTCTTCATCAAGAGCATTTTTTAAGTTTTTCTAAGGGACATATGACATATGGGATAGAAATCATAATTTGACCCATGTCTCCAAGTTGCCTAACTTGAATGCAATCACTGACAAAATCCCAAACGAATAAGATCTCAAAACTATGCACTCATGTACAGATCATAGCATGGAAAGCAATGTGAATAAACTCTTTATTACTGCTGGAGTCACCAGACATCCATTCTGCAGACAAAGATCTCTTTGTCACTCGCTGTGTAATATATATTTTTAATGTCACATTAGAAAAGGGCATGAATACATTTTTTATTAAAAAAACTATTGGGTTTCATTAAGGACTAGAGCTGTTTTTCTGCAAAACTTCCATTTAGTTTGAAATTAAAAATAATGCTGGCTGCACTCTCCACTACCCACCCCCACCACACAGTTGGTAAAACAAGTACCCAATCTGAAACTAAGCCACAAAGGTCAGGAAGGTCTCAGGTTCAAAGCTCTGTTGGTGCTGAGCTAGCTTATTTCAACTGGGATGGAAATAGAGGTGCTACAATTGGCTTCAATGTCCCTGGCCGAGGTGGGGTAAATCATCTAGAGCTACCACTCCCGATCATTATCCAGTGACCCATAATGGAACATGTACATGCGTCTCAATGTTGAGTGATGACATGAAATGGTTTGGCTGTGAATCAGCCCATAGTTGCATAGTCGGGTGACACTCACTATCCAGGCTCACACGTTAAGAATGTTTACTTTGATGAGGTATTGACGGTCGCCTGACGCCTTCAAGGGAGGAGCGGAAAAAATTAGGAAGCGTGGATTGAAAATGGTGCTGTCAGTATGCAGCCGAAGGAATTGTCGAAATGGTGCTTTTGACACTCAATTGGAGTTCTTTAGAAAAAATGATTTACTTTATGCTGTAGCACAATTAATAACATCTTGCACAGAAATAGTAAAAATCCAAAGTACTTTGATCACAATCTTTCAGACTGTTATATTGTTAAACCAAGCAAAAGAGCTCATTTTGCAAGGACACCAAACTGCAACGTAGTTACAGATTCATAATTACAGATTCATATCTGTAAACTCAGTCCCAATCTTTCTAATAGTAACTGAGTAAAAGACTCTCAATATCAGTTTTATATTCATTTTAAAGGACACACAACAATTAATGATTTAACATTGCTCTTTGAGTATGAAAAACAAATCAACTCATAATTGTTTTTGTTAGTGCAAACAATAATTTTGTAATAATATTGTTTTTGTGGTTGTCAATTAAATTAATAATATTCTAAATTCAGAATTACTCTTTAAATTCAGAGGAAAGCCTCGTCTATAGGCCAAATAAATGAGGACAGCGTGTGATCTGCTACCATTCAGATTGTTTAAACCAGCGAATGCATCATGTAGGCTTGAAAATTAGTGAACCAGAAATTGTTTGGGCATATTAACTGGACTGAAGTCAAATGTGTTTATGTTTGGCTGTGGTCATAGGGATCCACATAGGCAGTGTGTTGTGTGTGAGAAGAAGTGGGGTGTTGGGTGAGATACCGTGTGTAAAATAAGCAGTTAGACTGCCTCAGTTTAGTTTTCACTTTCAAAATTCTGCTGCTTGCTGCAAATCAGAAACATTTACGGCCCAGGTAAGAATCAGACTCCTAATTATTGTAATCTTGAGTGGAAAACCATACTTTCATACCATTCATCACGTAACAGCAAAAGTATATCCAAGAACATAGGATGATATGAAAGAAATTTTGCACAAATAATATTATGCTTTAAGACTTTCAAGAGATTATAAAGGTTCATAATAAGAAAAATGTGTTAAATGAGAGAAAATGAGGCTGAAATGGAGAAAAATTAAAACAGTGATCACATCTTACATTTTGTCTGAATCTGCAATACCAGTCTCTCTGACTGTTTATTTTCAGACTATTTAACAGTTTAAAATCCAAACTGTAGCCAAGATGAAAGCTGTTCACACATTACAAAACTCTAGATTTGTTTTTGCACATTGATAAACATTAGACCATTAATTACTCTTTTCTGTGGACCGCAATTCACTCCTCAGACTGACACATGCAAGATTTGCACCACGAACACATGCAAACAAGTTTAAATACAAAAGCAAACATTTAACTTTTGAAATAAATAATATTTGTTTACATATTTTTCCACAAAGGCATTAAAGAAAACGTTTAAACTAAAAGTCACATGAAAAGTTTGATTAGGAAGAACATGCAGCAGACTTGTTTTACTTCTTTGCAAAATTTAAGCAATCGAGTTCTAAATCTATGAAAAAGTTAAGTACCTTGAAAAATTAGAAATGTGCTACAAATTATTTCTGGTCTTTGCATGCATTATCATCACACTGGTGGGTATAAAACAACTGACCTAGTAGAAGATGGCAAAGATGACTTTTCCTTTGCAGAAGACCGAATTTATCTATCAAGCAACCAAAAAAACATGGTATTGGAACTCAGCCTAATTGTCAATTTTCTAAAAATATAAATAACTAGTCTGACCATTTGTATTTAAGAAGGCCAGTTCATTCTCCCAAAATGTATCTTGCGTGCTGACTTAATGCCTCTTTGCATTATACAGTACAATAAAACTAAAGTCACAGTGAGCTTTGCTGCCAATGCTAATTCCCCGATACATGCACCATAAAGACAGCAATGAAGTGGTCAGGCTGGGTTTAAAGTCAGCCTGCAGGTGTTTCCTTGAATGAATTGGGTTTCTCATCCCTAATGAAGGATAACGGAACCCCACCACGACATAGAAGGCTGGTTGTCCACGATAAAAATATAAGTCTAATTCTGAAGTAAATTCTGTTCATTTAGCTGTTATCTAAGAGGACACAAGTTCTAAATTTACTGGTATCATCATACTGTGATATCAGACCTGCTTCCTAAGTGTTGGCTTTACTGCAATAGTTTCACGGCCAGCAGCCACAAGTGTTTTTCAGTTAACTTTCAATGCAGTTCACTATCACTCAACTAAACATTTCTAAAATATGCATCAGAATAATCTATTACCAAACTTAAATTCCATTGCCTCTCATTTAATCACATTGCATGCTCGGTTAAAGCAGTCATTTAGTATATTCAAACTGTGGTTTTGACTTAGTCCCACTCGCCTGTTATCTATACTCAATAATCCACAAATATGTATGTTTTCCCCTAAAATAGAAGACAAAACCGCTTCTACTTTTAACATCCAGGAGTCTTCTTTAAAAATTATCTCCTGGCTGTATATTCAAGCTGCAAGCTGTATCAAACACATTTTAATATGGCTCTCTTTTAGCTGCCAGAAAAAAAATTCCAACTGCACTTCACTTCCCTTACAGCATAAATTCCCTGTGCCTGTTGTAAGAATAATTTTGGTAATTTTTTCCCTCTGTCTAAAGTAACTTAAGACTGACCTAGTTAATATGACTTGTGCTGTACTATGGGAACAGACAGTGCTACTGAGAAGGCCATTTACACAACCTGTTCGTGATTATAGGCCATACGGTTACAAAGATGGCACGGATGTATCTGAACACTCCAAAAGGATGACGTTTGCAGTTTGGCCCGGGTCAGATGTTTTTTTAATCCACAATTTTGGACATGTGACACAGCAACTAATGCTGATCAATTTGTTTAATCACCTTTTGGAACTTTTCCAGATGGTTTCTGTTGAGAGCAGCGCTCAGAGATGAATCTCAGTGTGTTCATTGCACAACTGCTCCTAACATGCCACTAGAGCTTTCAGTAAACGGCTGCATGCTGAATCCAGCACCGGTTCACTCTCACAGCAGAAAGGAAGAGAGTTAAAAACTACATGCATTAACTTTACTTTTCCCCATAGGATCATGTCATGAATAATTTAACCTCTCTTATGCTAATGGGATAATGAAAGTCTCCTTCTCTTCAGAGTCCCACTCTCAGCTTTCACCATAACCCTCTGCCCTGCCCCACCCCCCAAACCATTTTCTTGCTGGAAAGGCCTGTTCCGACTTGAAGTAATACATGGAACTCCTTTTCTGAATACCACTGCTTAAGACACAGGCTGTCACGTTAGGGAATGCCAATAATATACAGAGTATCAGTGTGATTAGAGGTATTCTGCAACGGAATTTGACTTTAGAGGACTGTGACCTGTTTATTCTGATTTTTTTTGCTTTTGTAGCAAACTTCCAGCATAATCAGTACGACTGGGGAAGCATGAACAATAGGGAGTTATTTACTCTGATCAAAACTCAGATAAAAAAAACACCTCCCACCTCTGCCATTTGGTTTGGTTTAGGGCTCGATGCCAGCAAATCTACATCCGGATCTAATCTACTAGCCTTATGGGTTAGTGGAGAATGTCTGATGCAAATCTCCTGTGGGTGTAGATTGTAAATTAAAAATCAGTGCATGTGTTGGACAGGCAATTTCTTTTAATTTAAGACCCTCTGACTCTGCGGCTAAATACGCTACCTGGTGTGGCAGTGAACTACACAGGCAAGCAACGTTTTCGCTCTTGGTTTGGGCTCATGTTAAATTAGCCGATCTCAATTCCGGGAGTTGTAAAGCTGTATCAATTGGCCTGAATATTGCCAGACTAAGATGATAGGCAATACGTCAAGGTTCTAACTCCTGATCGGTGTTCAGGGACCCTGCTGGAATGTGCCACTGTGCGTACATAGGTTAAGGACAAGATTGGGACGGGAACGCAACCTGGGACAAATCTAGCGATGCGGAGCAGTGCATCGCTATTCTAATGTACCGTTTCACAATGTGGCGAAGGACAGACTAACATTCAGTTCACAACTGTGATATCAGAAGAAACACTGGACCATTTGGTTTCCTCACAGGAAAGGCGGGAAACAATTCAGAGGCCACTTTGCTCTGGGCTACCCTTGCATATCTAGCAAATGGATTGAGAGCTGTATTGGCAAAGTTCTGGGGGAGGAAAATCATAAATACATTTTAAAATTGAGGTAGAAATGAATAAATTAAAACTTCAGGTACAATAGTTGCTTAGAGGGATACAACTTAAAAACCTGAAAACTCGGATTCTCTTTTCCATCATCTTGGGCCAAAGTGAATGTGACTTATGATGGCCAAGGGCATCAAAAATGCCACTCTAATTAACATTGAATTACAATAAACCAAAAGTCACAGCTTTGAATCCTGGTTTGTTCTGAGTTATCTGATCTCAAAATGGCCAGTGGTTGGAGCAGAACAATTAGCCTGAGGAATTCAGAGCTAGGGAGAGGGGTGGGAAAAAAATCAGCCAATCTTTTCACTCCCAATTGTTATCCAGTGACCCACGCTGGAAAGTCCAGGTGTGCAGACACTGAATGAGAACAGAATTTAGCTTGGCTGTGATGCTCTTCACAGACAGAACAACTTTGACAAGCTTTGTGTTCCCACTGTGTATTTAGTTTATAGGACAGACTAAGGCAATGATACAAGTAATTGGTGTAACTGTTGGTAACTGGCAAAATTGGGAACAAAATTAATCGAGGTTCCTGGTGTTGATTGATTTAAGTGATTCCTACTGGAAATGCATGTCTATGGACATTTGAGGAGGTTAGAATTGGGTTTGGTTGTGGAACTCATGTGGAGTCCTGTAGCTCAGTGGTTAGAGCACTCGCCTCGCAAGCGAGAGACTTAGGTTCGATTCCAGGCAGGGCGAAACTTTGGGCAAGTTTCCTTACTCCACATGCCTGATAATCCCTCAAGAAAGCAATCAATATTAAATTGGTCACTTCAATCCATGACTGTTTGTGGGACACTGCTGTGCGCAATTGGCTGCCACGTTTCGCCCACAAATATACAGTCAATTCACTTTACAGTATATTCTGTGAAGTGTTTTGAGACGTCTAGAAGACGTGAAAAGAGTTATATCAAATGCAAGGATTATTATTATTTATTATTAGAATTCTCCCCCTCCCCCGCAACCAATCGCAGCATTGTCTACTGACTCAGTGCACAGATTTTCACATTAATAATGGTCACATTGGTGGGATACTGGAGGACTGCCAGTGCCCTTGGAACTAGAGCATGAGGTCTCTGAGACCTTTAGAAAAGAGAATATTGAGATAAAAGTTATTACTCAATTCAATTCTTATTGCAAAGCTTGTTTTTGTCTATTAAAAATGTCACAACGAATTTCCACTGCTATGCAATCTCCATGCGCTGTTGGCAAATGAGCAAAACAGTTTTGCTTTAAAAATTCAGTTTGTTGAGACTAAAACTAGTGCAAGCCCATCAATCTCTGACCCACATTCAAACAAATGAAATCAATAAAACTCATGAAAATCTGACTGGGCAACAATATTGTCAGTTCAATTCCATTTTTTTGTTCAGATTTCCTGTACAAAAGATACTTTCTTTAGTTGGAACCCAAAACGTCCAAATCTAACTATCGTCCCAGCTTAAACTGCTAAATAATAATAATAATCCTTACATTTGATATAGTGCCTTATCATGTGTAGGTAAAGTTGAGCTGAAAGTCCTACACAAACTTCTCTTCTTAATCTTACCAAAGATTAAGCTTTATTCATCTAAGACACCAACAGTGTTCCAATTTTGTGACCTGGTTCAGTTGGTCAGTGCTCATGGTACATTTACAAGAACAGAAACCTACCCAGAATACAAAGAGCTGGGGAAGGAAGGCAAGCAATAAACGTAAAATGGTAAGGATGCTGTATTTAAGACTTTTGCCAGTTCCAATAGGTTTATTATAATCTGTTGACTTGATTTTGTAAATTTACTTATATTGTATTTTGAATGCATCTGATATGAGCCATTGAAGGACATGTCACTTCGATGTGCAATGGTTCTAGGTCGAATTCATCAGACTTTCACATGGCAGTCCTGTATTACAGGGAATTCTCAGTAAGAGAATTGTTCAATTGCTGCAAAGTGTACAAAATGCCCTAACAAAAATGAATTGAGAGAAATGTCCCTCTACAACAATCTTACAGCATATCTGTCAACTTCAATTTTTCTTTCATGCATAGCTAATGATGAAGCCAGTTCTTTTCATCTTACTTTTTGGCTAAAATGGCAACGTGAATTTAGGAAGTAAGCAAATAGAAACAAAATACGAAATTCTTATCTGCTTACTGTATTTAATGTTTTGTGTTGTAGTATTGTCAGTCAACTAAATATTAACAACTGGAAACTGTTTTCTGAACTACTTGTGATTACACAATTTACCTTGAAATTAAAGAAAGATTTTTTTTACTAGAAATATGGAAAGCTCAGGATGTGATATATAAGTATTTACTCCAGCAAATGAGTAATGTGGAAAATACTATTACAGTATTCATAAATTAATATGCAATTTTTCAAAATGAAGTCTTCCTTATTTCATCTGTTTAAAAGAAATAAGCACTTGCTTCCTGCAAGCTATTATTTTTGAACAAATTATACTGATCTAAAACAATTTTAGTATTCCCAGAGTTATTATTATTATAGTGTCTCAGAAACGTGGATAAGAAAATAAATATACAGAGATCATTTAATTGAAACAATATCAAAGCCATTTAATAACAATGTAATTACTTAAAACAGTATTTAAATCAAGGTTCTGTGATACTGGTCGGTTACTGTTAGATTTAGCATTTTTGATACCTCTTGTGTGAATTTCAAACTCTGTCTTGAATGAATAAACCAAGTTCCAGGGTCCCTAGACATAGTGAGCGCTTGTGAGAAAGATGTGGTTGATGCCTTGCATACAAAAAAAATTGAAGTGATTTCTTCAGAACATCGAACTAGAAAAATCCATTTTAACACATGGAACAAAACCTACCCTTATCATGAACTTCACTCTGCCTACTCGGGGTGGGGGGTAGGGGTTGGGAGAGCTGTAACATAGATGTTCTATGAAACCAAAGGCAATTGAGCATAAAACTCCAGAAATTCTTCCATTTTCACTTTCAAATGTACCTCATTCCCTCTACGGGCAACATTCCTCTCACTCCTTCCAATTCCAGCTTTATGGAAATCACCGTGTCCCACGGGCTCACTATTTAAGTTAGTCTGTACATTTTACTATTGAAACAAACCCATCGGTAACAAGATTAAAAACTAGGGTGAAACGTTTTTTTTTAAAAATAACATTGGTACTTTTCGACTTCTTTTAAATCTGGTCCTGAACATGGGATAACTGTTTTCTGTCCTTCAATCTATGCATCATTGCTTGTTCTAAAGCTCTTAATGCAGCAGAAGGCAAGTTACCCTGTGCAAAACAGAGTGGAAAACCAAATGATTACTGCAACAGTATTACATGAATCATATTTTAGGGCCTTTGATTGTTTTATACTTGTGCTCATCTCTGTTCAGTATGGTCAATGTTTTAAAGAATATAAACTTCTGAAAACTATTTCTAATCCACATTGATTTTTAATGTTTGAAAAGGCACTTTTTATTGTTTGAAAAAGTGGTTAAGCCTTGTACACAAAGTGCTTCACCAACACTCCATTGCTCCTAACCTTTCTGTGTGTTTTTTTTCCCTGAAAAAAATTGGCACTATTTGAGGCAGACCAAACAATACTTTGTGAAACTAATTTCTGGTTATACGATGCCCTCACATATTTGCTCTCATAGACACACAGACAAAAGTAGTGTATATTTAAGCTTCTTACCGCATCCCAAATGTAAGCAAAACAAAAACTGTAATGATGACTTTGACTCACATAATGAACTTTTTTAAACAAACTGTGACTGATTTAAGAGTTATGTTATAAAAGATCTTTTTTTTAAAAAACCTGAACACCTCTGTATGTGGAGCAGTTGGTTCCACATACACACACACACACACACACACAGAGTTAAAAACCCCAGGGCTATCTCCTCTATGCTCCAGCCTGTATCTTGCCACCATAACTCAGCAAACCCAATGCAACCAGACAGTTTTGAATTTCAGCTGGGACCCGAGCGACCTGTTAATGAAACTGCATAAGGGTAAAACTCACAGTGCTGAGTTATGCCTGGCGTGGCGAGCAGACTTGGAGTCAAAATGCTTCAAGCGTTAACGTAATTGCAAGAATGTGAAAAATGAAGCATCAGGCTCCTGAGCAAAGCGAAAGGTCAAAGCAAGCCTCTCACAAAACAGCTCTGTGGAAGATGGCCTCATTACACCATTTAATCAGCTTCACTTTCTGTTGTCTCCATCAAATATTTTATTTCTCCCTGTTCCTAGCAAACTGCAATTAACTCTTTTCTGTCTCTCTTGTAACTAACAATCCACTAGGTTTTCATATTTAAATATGATCTGTGGCATCTTCGAAAAACACTGCACTCAACCCAGAAGATAGTCAATAAGTGCTCAACAAATTGCAGGTCACTTGAACTTATGCATGCAAAATGATCAATACTTCTCAAAGATTTACTTTTCAGGAGCTATAGAAATGACACAGAAAAAAACAAATGCACAACAACCTTAAATACCAACAAGATTAATGTTTTTTTCCCTTCAGTTTACAGACTAATATCACTAATAAATTAAAACCAGTTTTCCTGTGTATGTAGTGCTACGGTATATAAAATTCTTGTTTCCATTGTCACAACGGCAGTACTCTAATACTTGATCATTTACGTGACAAATTACATTCACTTTTCATTGTGCAAAATATATAGCTGCCCTTTGCTGAAAAGTGGATAAATCTCACAAAATTTGCAGCACACTGTGACCTCTGACACCTGACTGGATCAGGTTTATTTATACTGTCCAGAAAAAACATTATTCATATTAAAAGACCAAGGTCAGTAGCAGCACTTGTTACTTAACCTGTTAACCTGTTACCAGTGTATCCATATTAATTACCAGATAATTTCCTTCATACAACTTGCGACACTGTTTTTTTGTGCNTTTTTTCTACGTTTTGTTTTCATTACCAGCTTTTATTTGATTATGCACCCACCCTCTTATACTGATGTTTGCTTTATGACACACGCAGCTATATCATGAAAGGTAGAGTTTATTTAGTCATGCCGACTTTGAGCGAGGGAAAATTTAACCTCTTACCTTGCTCACTACTGTTGTCTCCACTTTGGGAAGCATGGCCACCACTGGAGGGTCCCGGTGTACCAGCAGAATGCGTTGAGGTTGCGTCATCGTGATCTCTGTTCCAAGATGATGGGTTCTAATGTGAAGATCCCCGAGAATTTTCCAGTGAATGTTCCAGAGGCAAATGAAAAACATAGAAAACAAAGAGCAACATATTAGCGATGTACAAATATACAACCACAGATCATCTGCATACAACATCGCTTTTCTTCCCAGGTTATTTTCCTGGGAGAAAAACATTTGGTTGTTTAGGGAAGATTAAAATGCGCTGATAACCAATGGCAGACTAAGAGTTAAAGACTTCAGGTTTCTTATAAGATAAATAGTCTTAATAAAACTCTTCATAGATCATTAAGTTTTTATTGTTACACTAAAGACATTGCTAGTATTGAGATACACAGTTAAAGAAAATGCATATTTATTTTTCCTTTAGTTCGCCTTTTCCCCCCATGAGAGGGAAGTTAAAAAGTTTGCTGTCAAACAAATAAATATTAAGAACGAAAGTTACGGCTTTCTGCTGCATTGCAGTATGTATTCTCCTCCTGGTCCTCCTCCCCTTTCCTGATCATTCCCAATTCCCTGCCACTACTAAAAGGAAAACAGAATTTCTACTGTACAGGAAGAGCTTTATCAGCACCACATGAAGGCAGGGAAGAGATGGAATTTCCTCTCACAGAAAAGAGAAGGAACACATGAAACAGATCAGGCTTTGGGCTAGATATGTAGTACTTGACACCTGCGCATAACCACAATAGCAAAAGCCGATAGAAAGTAACTAAGTGGACTCTGAACTATTCTGACATGTCATACTTTGAACAATATTGTGCTCTAAAGATAAACATGTACAATGACTATAACAGACCAACTCGCAAAAACATGTGGTTTTGATTTCTATGAAATCAAAATACCGGTAAAATATAATAAAAATGTTTACAAACAAGTACAGAAAAACAGGTAAATTACATTAAATCACCAATTTTACCATTGTGCAGCTGAAGATGAAAAATTAGAAACAGATGAATTGCCTTGAATTGGTGGAGAACGAACGTTGTTCAGACTAGAACAGCTTTAATACAGCAATTACTGCAGACATTAAAATAAAAACCGAGCAGTGGAAAATTCAGAGATGCAGTAACTTCTCAGCTGCCTGGATTATGGACAGTTTGTGCCTATGAGCATTGCTTTTTATCTCTAAGCTAGGAAACCACTCAAATAGCTTCAAGCTGAAGGCAAACAGTAGGCAGGGGCTCTTCAGCCTACTGCAGCCTCTTAGCGTCAGCTGTTTGCCGGATGGTAATCAGATAAAGAGCTAAAAGAATTAAATGAAAAAGAGAAGAAACAATAGCTCTGCGTGAATTTAGATCAGTAACAACAAGAACCTAGAACCTTCCCATAGAAACCAAGATAAATGCAACACGTTCACCTAGATGACGGTTTTTGAAGAACACATAAAATGAGGTTCACATTATGCGCTGCAAGCTATTCTAAGTTGTCTATGGCTACAAGCTCCATAACACTGATGTGAAAATTACATTAATTAATCAGTAACACCTTTCCTATGTTCTATGGCAAATGTTAGCCTACATTTCTTTTCTTCAGTGATGCAATCCTTATCTTTCACACATTTACCACAATCAGGGCAAAATTACTAACAATTATAGTGCTTCCTCTAGTTGAAAATACTAATTTCAGAATGGGGAACTTTGAACATCAGTCTGACCTGTACTCCTGTAAACCTCAATAATCGCTACCAATTCTTCCTTCCCTACCAAATTAGATGGCATTAGATCTCTTGATAATGCGCACGGCATACAATGCAAGGGCATATAGTCGACATGTAAAAATTCCCAGTAGCTTATTTAATCAAGTGGCAAAAAACACAGCAACCTCCTAGCTCATTCCTAATTGAGTTAAAAGACAGAGTAAAAGAGAGAAAGGCTACAGACTGAACGCAGCACAATATAGGGAAAGTGAAAATAGATACAAGATGCTGGGTCTCTTGGGATGATATTTTCTATTTGCTGGTCTACAGACTCACAGCTGATAATGCAACTTGTAATTAATATAAAAGCATGAGACAATATGGGGAAAGCTTGTACTAGCGGGGCCACAAGAGAACACTTTGCCACTATACAGTCTTTCTCATTTACACACACTGTCTTCCATTGCAAACATAATTTTGCCACGGTTTTTTCCCTTGGAAGCTCGAAATTGATTTAAGCACTGTCAATGAGTTTTGCTAAATCTAGGGGAAAATGGGGGGGTGGGGGGAGGGGGCGAAGAGATAGAGAGAGACCAAAGTCTTTGAGTGCATATAGATACACTGATATGTTAGTCTTCTGTCAATGCAGTGAATCCTTCTTGGTGGGAAATGTAAACACTTTTACCTGTCGTGGTTTTTGAAAGAAAGCTATTTCTGTCAATATGAGATCTAGATCATTTGCCGAAGATTCCATTATGAGACAGAACCAGGGTTACCCACTATTTGTTTTCAAATAAGGTGTCCTTTGCTGTACTATATTAAACGTGCTCTCCAATATATCTGCAGTACTCAGGTAATACTATAAGAAATTCTACCTTAAAATTGAGATGTGCGTTACCACTACACTAAATCCTTACTTGATACAAAGCTATTCCTTCAGCTACTACATATACATTCCAAAGAAATATGGTGCAAAGGATAAAATATTGATCTTCATATACACCAAATCCATACAACAGTTATGCATTTTGTGTAAAGCATACAGTGATAAAAATAAATATGCTCCAAATTCACCCTACCAACAAAGTGTTCAATTAAGCAGCAGAGAAAGTAAAACATAAGACTTCTGCAGCTATAATAAACATGCAGAAATTACTGATAATAGAAGAAAATTGCACTTGAAACCAATATCCCAACATGTAATTAAATAATAAAAAGTGTCTTGTCTCTAATCCTTTCCAGGCTCATAATGATTCATTATCAAATAACTCATAATACATACGTTGTGCTTATTTGGCTTAATGGTAGTGTACCGCTTAATTACTAATATCTATGGGTATACAGTAATCTGTAGTCATTAAAACCATACTACTCTTGTACCGATCAGACATGCCACATTCATGCAAATGTTAGAGAACAGTCATCTTTATTACCCTTTACCTGCATCACTTTGCCTCTATTATATTCAAAGAACTCATCACATAAGGGTAAGACTGTCAAAAAAGCAACCATTTAATAATAATCCTTGCATTTGATATAATGTTTTATCACATTGAAACATCTCAAAATGTTTCATGGAGAGTTTTTTCTGCAAAGTATAGTGACTATTTTTAAAGGCGGTTATTTAAAACAGAGAAGCTATATCCTGCATATTGTAAAGCATATCAATTAGTTTGCAAATGAGTTTAGGGCAGTAAATCAATTGAATCCAAACACTGTTCTAGTTTTCCTTTCATGGTTTGTATCATTGTCAGAAATGTTTGATAGAATTATTTCCAAGTAACTCACTGCCAAACATCTATTATTCTTTATTTACCTTACAGTGGGGGGAGGGGACAATAGTAGTCTTTACATTATATAAAATACAATTGAAAATTACAAAGCAAACCTAAAATGTATTTAAAGCTCCAGCCCAGTAATTTAAATTGTTTTCAAAATGTTTGATCCTAGTTTAACTTACTGACTGCTTTTACAGTTCAAGACCACTGTAGATAAGATTTAATATATAAATCAATTCTAATTTAAACCGTATGGAATAATGAATAGCAACATTTTCGTCACCCAATAAATAAAACTTCACATTGGCAGTTCTTAGCTTCAGAGGCACAAAAGGTTAAAAAGTCACCAAGTATGAATCCTGTCTAACCTACAGTGCGACAATCTGAAAAACCTCTACAAGAAGTGTTTTCTAGTTTTGATATACTCATTATGCTACATGGCTCCAATGTAAAGTCGCAAATGAGGGATTTCTTGAGCATTTGATAGATCCAGCTGCATTGAAACATGACCACTGGATCAAACGAGTTTCTCTCCTACAAGAGCATTATTTGTTGACAATAAAATATTTCTGCCCTATGTCTTGAATACAATCTGCTTTGCCTTATACTAAAACTGCAACAACCTAAGTCTGGACTGACTTGGACTTTGTAGCTTGCGATAGAGAACATAAACTACATTTTCTATAAATTCTGCTTTTGACCAGCCACCCTATCCCATGGGCATTACATTCAACCGTGAACTAATTTGCAATAAAGCACCTTGCCAGCTACAATAATTCAAATATGGGTACAAACCCTAGCTACCTGCATCAGTCATTTACATTTCATTACAAACACACATTTGTGCCAGGTAGTAAAACTCTCTACTAACTTTCCTTTATGAGTGACTCATTAGGTTTCCCTTATTGATCAGGGAGGTGAACAGAAAGAGTACAGTACTTATGACTTACAGTAGGGTGGTACGCTATAAAACCTATTACTTTCATAGCTAAAGTAAACCTTTTTTTTTCTTTGTCTACAGTATAGAACGGGACCTATAGTTTATAGCAAGCCTAAATCTAACTTCCATTGCTTAAAACTACCGGCAACTCTAATTCAGTCACAATATAGGCAGCTGCTGCCATAGGACACTAATAGCCAAAGCAATATGCTTTCCTTAAACGTGGCTCCTGCAGCTATTTTTCTTCCATTCTGTCATTTCACAAGCAACAGAACAGCCAGGCAAGCTTGCTATTTCTATCCCTGCCATTGGTATCTCTGTCAGAGGGCAAGGCAGTATAACTTGGAAAACATTTGCATGCAAACGTTCAAAGGACTACTACCATGCAATAGATGACTTCATGCAAAACAAATCATATATGTCGAAATAATCACAATTGTACATGATACAAATGTTAATCAACATTTGGCTGTTTTAAAACATTTTGTAATAGAATCAAACTACGAAAACATGTATTCTGACAGAAGTGGGATGAAATCATTGAACACTGGATTTTTCAGAGGATTTTTACTCTAGTGAACAAGAAAATTATAATTAGATTACAATGAACCGCATTATTAGCATATTTTCTATTGCACATGCATAAGAATTTTTCC